AGCGCCGGTCCTTGGATTCGGTTTACTTCTGTTTTTGGCTTCATAAGGGGGGTTAGGCTTTAGGGTTGATTAGTCGTGCATCTGACCAGAAGCACATGCTGGCAGGTACAGCAAACATCTGATACTGCAGACCATTGAGACAGCGATGCTCCTCAGGCTTCACAGATCGTTCAAAGGCCATGTCAGCAGTTGGGGCACGGCAGATCGCGGATGCCTTTTTCCATCGCAGCTGACTCGAAATTGCTCCTACCATCGTGTCAAGTTACAAAGCGATTGGGAAGATGCTGACCGACAAGCCGCAAGAGTTGACTTCCTGAAAACTTACAGCCTTGGGGTTAATGGTGTCATCTGCACGAACTACTAAAAATTAAATGGTCATGCGAGTCAACGAATCATTGATCGCCGTTTTCTCTCTCTAGCTATGACTTGACAAAGACCCGCTGCTCAAGAAAAGCAACGAGCCAGCTCCACCTGCCTTCATGGAATAGATCCCTTCTCACCTGCAGGCAGCATTGCTCCCACCATCCTTTTATGTATTCTTTGCCCCTGAGGCAGCTTGAGGAGGCAGGCCGAGCAGGCGCTGGATCAAAACGCTCAGGCGCTCTCAGCGCTTCGTCATGAGGTACAGGACAGAGGTGCAGACCTTCGCTCGGCTTCAGAATAGAAGGCGAGCGATGCACTCGGCTATGCACCCTGCAACCATGCCTACACCAAACCCAAGGCAGGGTTCTTGCGACCTGCTATGTGCCTCGAAACACCTCAATCGCCGACTTTGCAGGCTCCGATGGGCTTCAACGTGGCATATTGCGCACGGCCTTGAGCTTTCGATCCTTCCGCAGGTTTCTCATAGTCTTGCGGTGTACTGCCCTCAACCGTTCAGGAAGCATGCGCTATGTTTCTGCATGAAATTCTGCAGAATTTGGGCTAGTATAGATGTGACTCTCCACTCGTACTTCTCCTGCTCCTCCACATCCTCTGCTGCCCCGGCCACTTCTCTGTAATGTGCTAGGATCTTCAGGACCCTAACCACAGGTTGTCGAGAGTCAAGAAGGCAGCTGTCGCCAAATTGCTGCTCATGGTGTGTGAGCTCGGTCCAAGCGGCGAAAATCATGATGCCCCAGCCAGTGTTGTGGTAGTTGATGTGCCTGAAGAGGTATGCTGAATGCACACTCGTAACACCTTGAAAGCCTGGCCTGCCCCTAGGCGAAACAAGTCCAACAAGAAACCGAGACCTGATGGGTAGTAGGTATTTCCAGGGCCGTGAAGGTGCGATATCCGTATGGTATCGGGCCAGAAGCTACGCGGCTAACAAGCACATGAGCTGCAGCCTACTGCAAAATCCCCACCTGTTGCGTCAGGAATGTCGAGCTCTACCTCACTGCTCCCTAAAAGGCCCGAATCCCCATGGTTCAGAAAGATTCAAAAATCCAACAATCTGCGTCAAGGCAGCCACGGGTTAGGGAGAGCATATCCGATATCAGACCCAGTCCCACCCTGAGGCCTACTCTTGACTCTAAACCCTGCCGAGGCACATCTCTGCCACAGGAGATGCTGGGTCGTGGCCACCCCAATCCATGCGCCATGGCCAGCCTAAACAAAGACAGGATCTCTGAGTCCAAACTTCAAGCTTCCTATAGCATTGGTCCGTGGATGTCTGTTGAAAAAGACGGGACAATACGACGCTGGTTCCTAGGCTTACTGTACCGGCGAGAAAGCATCCTGGGCCGCGCTGCTGACATCCAATGTTCCGAATTGCTGCTAAGGCGGCCAACGTCGGCACGCAGCGGAGCAGCGGCTGCGAAAGGAAGCCTTCGATGATCGGCACTATGGGGCGCAAGTTGCAAGAAGAGCTGGATGAGTCTTTTGCCTCTTTGGCAATAACATGCGGCTCTCGAGCCTGAGCCTTCGCTATATCGATGCAGGCTATACTTAGCACGCGGATGCATTGCAGTCAAGAAGCGGAAGCCCCAATCTGCGGGCGCGGAGGTTTGCCAAAACCCCAGAGGGTGACCTCAGGGGACGTCGAGCCCGTGAAGTCTGAAGGGAAGCATCTTGCAGCGGGTTTGTGGCGTGAATCTGAAAGGCAACAATGAATTCAGCCAAGATTCTGCCGAGCCAGCTGCATCTGAAGGGCTGAGGTGCGCTGTTCTTCTGCCATGGCCTGGGCTATGAGATTCGACGGTCAATCGGCTATACAGACTCGCAGCAGGACTGGCGGGTCATGCTCAAAGCAATCATGTTCAGAGTGAACTTTTGCTCGTGCGGTGTTTTCCCTACTGGTCAAGCCGAATCTAAGCATCCTCGGTAATCAATAGACGAAGCAGATATCTGTAGAGGAATTTGACTGCATTCCTCACTGTTTCTCTAACCCGAAAGCTCAAAATCGCCCAAAAGCCTTGTATAGTATGGTCTTTGGGCGCAAAAGCCTTAAAACATGAGTCCTTAGAGCCTCAGGGCAACTGTTGGGCGGCCCGACCCTGCTCCTGCCGAGGCTCGCTGCGCGTCAAGGGCCAAAGGCACAAAGCCGGGCGAGACAAGACAAGCGGACGGAGCCAAGACGCTGCTCTGATAGGTTTTAGGGTTTGAATGCGGCTGTCGAAGCCGAAATTTGCATTACTCGAATTATAGTGATTGAGTATAGGAGTAAGGGAGGCCGTAAAAGTAGGAGCAGGAAGAGCAGCAGCGAAATAATCTCTAGGTATCTCATATATGTATTTTTACACATAAGGAACTGCACAAACAATGAGACAGACAGGTACACAGATAGATAGACTCTCATGAACGCGCCGCGATACGACGATGACGACTTGCTTATGACCAGACCCGTAGTAGCAGGTGAAAAAGCAGCAACACTAGTAGTAGAATAAAACGCCTAGTGCCAGCCACAACAACGGCATGTTGGTAACTCAACGGCATTCCTGCGTCAAACACTGCAAGAACGATTGCAGTGGTGCCTCCGTGGTGAATGAAGCCAACGGTGTTGGCGACAGTGAATGTAATCGCGTCCGTTGTCTGTCCAAGCTTGCTAGAACCCTGAGCCCAATGCTGTATCGAAAGGCCTACAAAGAATTGTAGATATCTGGGGCCTTACACCAGCACCAACACCGCAGCTGACAAACAGTTGGAGCTTTTTGAGCTCCGCACTTCTGGTCCTCGACGGTCTCTGTCCTGGAAGGCGCTGCTTCCCAGAGACTCCATATAGAATCCTCTAAGGTAATCCCAAAAAGGAACTACAGGCATCCCCTAATGTCATGCCTATGTCGTGTCTTTGGGTGCTTCCCCCATCTAAACGCAGAGAAACGAAAGTCATGCCTAAGTCACACCTTTGGGGCTTCCCCCAAGTAAACGCATGCGGATCGAAATATGCAGTCGTTTACGCTCTCAATCGAGCGGTTCTCTGGGGTTACATGTAAAGGGCAACAGACAGCAAACCCGGGCTGCAGCGGAACCCCAGTGAATGCAATGTTTACTGAGGCCCATCCCTTCACACCCATCGCGTGGCTTTCAAGGTGACAGGTGACCGAGATCGTTTCAAAACCAGCCATTCCCCATCTAGATGCTCGATTCCACAAGTGCAAACTCGAGACACACATCAGTGGGAGTCGGCGGAGCCTGTTTGGTGCTCCAAAAATTTCATCCTATATCGGACCTGAACCCTAACGATACCCGACCGATACCCAAAATGTTCACCGGAAGGCCATGGCCCACCTTACTTAGTTTCAAAGCCAAAGTGGCTCGTATTCGGACACTGATACAACGCACCTATGGGAAAAGGAAAAGCCATGTAAAAGCAATTGGGTTCGAAGTGCAGCTACAGAATCAAACCAACCAACTCGGCGTGGAATCCGCATGTAGTTTCATCGCAGACATCACAAACACAGCTCAAGGAAACAACCCGACCAATCCAGATGTAAACCCCATGTAAACGCAGTTAATTGCAGAACATCTTGCTAGACCTGACGACAACAGACATCCCAACCGGATGTGGGAACACCCATGTAAACGCAGATTAAGCACGACTTGCGGAAACCTTTCCCCCAGTGATTTCAAGCATTTCACGAACACAGGCAGGACTTAAGCAAGTTCCTGTACTATGGATCCTATGGGTACTTACTAAATCCTGCCTTAGAGACAGCACCAAACCCCTCGAGCCAGGAGCTTTCCCGACAAGGAAGTGGAATTCCGCGAAACGGGAATCTGCATTCGGGGGTAGTGGAGCCGGGCTACTGAGCCGTCTAGCTTCGCTGGATACAGGTCCGAGAATGTGAGTCGCATCTTGAGGTAGATTCTACACTAAACATGCTGATAGTATAAAGGCAAGGTGAACCAAGTGAAGTCAGACTTGGGGCCAATCATCATCATCATCATCGTCGTGATGTGCTCTATCGGTCCCTCCCGCCTAAATACCGGCCTCCGAAATTTTCTGAACGAAGTCCGAGGTCTATCCAAAACCCGAACTCATATCTGAAACCCGAAGCCCTAGTCCTGACCCTACCAGTTATTGCTCCCCTCCTCGTGGGCGCCCTTGCTCCAGCCGTACCACTCTGGCCCAACAGCCTTACCAAACTCGGGCTCTTTATGCACACGGCAGTCAACAACAAACGCTTTAGTTGGGTGACGGCGACGGACGATCATGTAGATAACAATATATGAGAATGTTCACACCACCTGCGAAAGCTAGCAAAAAGCCTTTGACTCAGTATCTGTTGCAGCTGTACACTGTACTGTACAGGTGCGCAATGCAGAGACGCTTCGATCAGCATGTTGCTGAACGCTGCTGATTGGCGTTCGTCTGGATGTACTCCCACAGTTGATGTATCTAGCTCAAACTATTCACGCCCTGTCCGGCTAGGACAGTCTATCAGGAGTTGCGGCGAACATCCAATCACGTCTCCAACGATTGCGCTGCGGTGGCTCGATCATGTTCCGCAGATCACAGCCGTCCCAACGGAATATTCAGGCGCTGAGAGGATCGTTGCCAACGCCCAGGATCACGTCAGCTACGCGCTGCCCTTTACACATGTCGCAAAAGCCCATTGCTCGTTGGGCATGAGGCCTTCTTTGTAGCGGCCAAAGTTCAGACGTGCGTCTCCGAACACCTGCAAAAGCGGGGCGACCACTTAGGGTCTCGGGCTTGGGGTTCATGAGTGGGCCTCAAGAAGTAACAAGTAGCGGCTTGCACGGCCGATCGAACTGTGTCCCCTTCCGTGCATGCCCAGCGTATCGACTCATGAGCCCTCGACCGACCGTAGCTCCTCAGCCCGCGCGCTCCCTGATACCAAAATCGGCACAGACACGTGAAGTTCAAGATCCTTCCAACCGCTGGTCTCCTCAGTGGCCACAGTAGCCCGAGATCAGCATGCGTGTTCGTCTGACGAAACACTTGAGGATGCCGCCTATGCATGTATGTATATATATATATATATATATATACACATACGCAGACGTACATACATGCCTACCTATCTACCTGCATGTATATAGACACACGCATGCATATATACATATGTATATGTATATATATATATATATATATATATGTATATATATATATATATATATATATGTATATATATGTATACACACATACATACAGGTATACATATATATATATATATATATGCATGCATGCATGCATTCATCAGTACCTGCATCATGTGCACATACATAGGTACATGGCTACATACACACTGCCGAATCCCTCCCCACCCACCTTCAAGCGTTTCTAAAAGATTCTCTGTGTGCGGAGCACTCCTGCTGTTGATGATATATAAATCCTGCATTACCCTAAGGACCCTAAACTATGGGAATTATGGTATATTCCTTATTATGGGTAATGCAGGATTTATATCCCCAAAGGGTCCAAGTATCATTATGGTATATTTAGACCCCCCAAATACCCTATAAGTATATACCAGAATGATACTTGGACCCTTTGGGATCATGAACCGTGGCCAAGCTAAGGCTCCAAGAGCTCCCGGAGTTGCGCAGCAGTGAAGGTGCCCGGCCTCATCGTTCTTATTCTCTACCTACTTGTCGGGTATCATGGGGATCTAAAGTTTTACCTTTTGGGTTATAATCTAGGGATTATATAGGGCATATAGGGACTATTCTACCCAAAAAAGGTTCAAATTTACCTACTCGACTACTAGGTTAAAAATCGACCCCTATCACTATCAAAGAGCTCGGAGATGGGTTTCCAGTGCTTAGGAGATTTGGGAGTTTCCGAGAAGTAGGGGTACCTTATTTGGAAGTCCTTATAATAAGGATCCTACTATTTATATTAGGGTCCCCTGTTTTTTCGGAAACTCTCATTTGGAAGTCCCGGGTGGCGCAAGCAACACCGCCCACCTTGGCGGTCCGATGGCATAGTTGATCACAGCCAAGGACCCCGGCGCAGCCATCTTGGACACCTCCGCTTAGGGGGTTGCAATACGATTCTAGTTTCAGGGGCGTTGGGCTGGTCTTTGCTCCGGGGCTTGGCGCTTGATTTACCAATTTTCTTACACATGATGTGGCTTCCTCAGGAAAGGGATCGGAAAGGAATAGCTTCCAAGAAGAGGGACAGGAATGGCTCAGATTCTGTTGGCAACAAGACGGGTAAAAGGCAATGTAGAGACCTGCATCATCAGGACAGGGTCAGTTTGGGTCTGTGCTACAGCGAAGAGCATGGATTCGTAGTGGGCATTCGGCACTGATGTCAGCAAATCCTAGTCCTAGCCTCAGGCACGAAGAGCCATTCCGCTAGGACAAGCCGGTTTGTCAATGCACCTAAGTTTAAAAAAAGAGACGGAGGTACCGAGAGAGCGTGGACGAGAGAAGGAGATGAAGAGTCGAGGAGGGGAGAGAGAGGGAGAGAGACCGGGAGAGGGACGCCCGCATGGTGGCTGGTGCCAAGCCATGGGAAGCTAGGAAGCCACGGATTCTTGAGGCACAAGCCTTCTTTCTGTACCATAAACTCTATGTTATCTCATCCCCTCGGCCTCACACAAGAAAGGCGTCGCGGCATCCTCCAGAAAGTCGAGAACCCCCTCGATAAGGAAGACGGACGCCACCTTTGGAATTATCCAAGCTGGGATTGCCGTCATGGTGCCTGGTTCAAGCCGGGAATCGCGAGATCTTACGCTAGAGCAGATGAAAGCCTCGTTAGGAGTATATCCCTCTTACGACTTCATTCAAACAGGTGGCCTTGCTCACTAAATCCAGCCTGGTCGTCGAAGCCCGACCGCGCGAGGTTTCCAGACAACTCCCCTGCATGCGAGGATTGGGATTGCTCTTTCTCTGACGGAGTGTGTCACCTCTTTCCCCCTTGCAAGCTGCAGCTCAAACTCCAAAAGCCTATCGAAACACACTGACGCCTATTCCGAACGAGTGTTATGAGTATAGCCCTGCTAAGAGTCGTCATCGTAGAAGTAGTCGCAGAAGTATAGTAGTAGCAGTAGTAATTTGGTAGAAGAAACTTTCGTACTAAAACCAGTCTTTGTTGGCTCCCGCAAGGCTTGATCTCGACGAGGTGCCAGTATTGGTATAAGAAGCTGCGGCAGCGTTTTGACACGTTCGGGGCAGGTCCATGCCCCAATCGCCTCCTAGTTTAGGTTTACAGACATGTCCAGAAACAACATCTGCAAATAGCTGGTATATATCTATACAATTGCAGCTGTATGGACATTCTTAAAAAACCGTGAATGCGTAAAGTTACAGTCCTACCAGAGCAGCTAGCAAGAGAGGATCTGGTGGCCACAGGGTGGCCGAAAGGTCTCGAGCTGGCTCTCAGCGAACCCCAGTATGTGGGAGGTCAAAACCAAAGCACGAATCAGGTAGACAAGGCAGAAGATAGACAGGTGTCTGAATGAGCGCGCATATAGACACCTACAAGATACCAATCATGACTACATCACTATTAATATGACATTACGGAACTACCATCACTAACAATTGTTCTTCTTCTTGTATTTATGATTATGTCTATCTTCGGCTCAAGACCCGGCTGACCTGCGACACGGAAGTCTGCAGAGACTGTGACGACTGGGCAGAAAGGCATCGCCCCGAGTCGCTCGAACACCGCGGTCTTCACTGCATTCCTGGGGACGAGCAGAGGAGGGCTTGGAGAGATAAGCTACACTGTATGGTCAGATCCAGGAGAGTTGGTCCACGAGGGCTCGCCGTTCACCAGGGCTGCAACTCCGGCAGATATCGGACTGTTTGATCGTTACACACTCATACAAGTACCTAGGGCGGAAGGATGAAGACCCTCCTTAATGGGGCCATGAAGTCCAAGCGTCACCTCGGGCGTATCGACCTCGTACGAGGCCTTCAGCTTAGAGTAGCCCTGCAAGGGATCTGCCAGGGCTCGAGAGCTTCCGAAGAAAATGAGGTTCAGGGTACTATAGGGGCCTTGATAATCAGAATAGGGTTTTGGGGCCCGCTGCTACTATAAATAGAATATTATAAGGAGCCACTCAAGTAGTATAGGGTATTTATTTCGGCCCCCTATATTATCGAGGCTGTTCTTCAGAACTTGCAAAGGCACTTTGCAAGCACTGAGGGGTGACGAACACAGTTCCTGGTCTTCGTGGCGACCCACAAAGCACTACGACGAGATGCAGCATAACCCTAAGGCTCAAAATAGCCCAAAAGCCTTACATAGTATGGCCTTTGGGCCCAAAAGCCTCACAACATAGAGCCTGAGGGTAAGATTCTGGTCTCAGGGTACAGGAAACAAGCAGTCAGGGCAGCTGGATCTGGTCCAGGCGCTTCGAGACGATAGGGTCGGGTGTCGACTCCAGCACCCAGGTTCACCATCTGCTTCTGATCCGTGAGACTACCTTGGTGCATCTTAGTCTGGCTATGACGCAGGCTGTATTGAGCGCAGTCAGAGACAGGGGGAGAGAGAGAGAGAGAGATCCCGGACTGACATTCACACCCAGGCAACTGTAACCCTTAGGCCCGCAAACAAAGACTGCTTCCTACCACATTAGGAACAAAGTAACTTGCACCTCCAGGCCAAACGGTAACACGACCAGCGCAAGTAGTTCTGTCTTGGGCACCGATGATGTCGTCGATAAACTTCGTTCTGACCACTGTCCACACCTTGTGACAGGAGTTCCGAAGCAAAGTCGTTCATCAGCAAGCCTCTGATGAAACCACTTCCTCCTCATAATGTTGACCATATTGTTGGTGATGGCGGTTTTGATGCAAATGATGATGCATTTGTCGTCACGGCATCTATCACCATCAGCAACGTTACCAGCAGCAGCACCACACCTCAGAAGTGCAATTATGAACACACCTTCGACAACCACGGCGTCATAAATTTCTGAATGCACATGTTCATCCTCACGCTTTTTGGAACGCAGGGCAGACTTTGAGGAAGACTTGACTGGGCGACGTCGCATAGGCCTTGTGAAACTCCGGCCAACCCTCAAAGCCGAACTGTGCCGCAGCTTCGCCAAGCTTGTCGGACATCTCCTTGGTATCTACCGGGATTTTCGAATCAAGCACTCAAGACAATGCACCCAGTGCGACCTTGAGCTTCAAGCCCAGAGACCTACCAAGACCTCCAGACATAAGTCTTAGGTGATTTATGCTGACTGAAGCCGGCAATGATTCTGGCACGACTCGTGGCCGTCTTTCCCTGCAAGTACTTTGGCAAAGGGATCGACGAACAAGGCATCCTGCCGAGCAACAACACAGCGGGTCGAGTCCGACAGCACCAAGCATCGAGGAATGATTGAATCAAGCCCTGAGCTGGCCAGATACTAGCTCATGCTACGCTGGCTGCTGGAAGATACATACAGTCAGTGCATTGCAAAGTTGGGTCTGCGCGAGTCCTTTTCACGGTCTGTCTCAATGGCCCTCTCAGCCGCCACCATGAAGGCAGTTCGACCCACAACGCTCACCTCAGAGAGGGCATGCTGGATCTCCTTTACTTGGGGCCCCAAGCTTCCACACAAGAACCCTAGCCGACAACAGTTGAAAAACGAGCTCCGTCATGTTAGTAATTATAATGGTAATATACTAATAGAATTATTAATAATAAGTTAAGAATAATAACAATAATGATAATATTAATATAATAGTAATAATAGTACTGATATTAATATATTCAGCCAAGACCACAGAGTCGCTCCCCCTGCCTGCGCGCCGAAGCGCAGGAGGAGGACTCAACTTGACCACCCTTACAAGTCACCAACCCCACCTTCCCAGTTAAACAGGAATAACATCTAAAGAGCCAATATGCTTTCGGCCTCAATTATCCCACCATCGGACCGGAGAAATTGTTCCGCCTGCGAAAAACTTTCCCTCACCCTCGAAGTCTGGGTTTAGTTTCGGGCTTCCCTTCCAACCCTTGACCGGGCACCCTGGGCCTCGGCATTCTCGCCCAGCAGATCCACTACCTGGCGGTTGTTCGGTTTCGGGGACTACGACTAAGGAATCATCACCCTCTCACTCTTGCGTCCGCGCACAAAGGCCTATGGCTGAAGGTTTGCAGGGTTTTCAGGTGGTCTTGCAGGGTTGAGTCTACCCAGTACCCTTCGGGCAAGGATCGCCCAAGCCATCCTCGTTTGGAACCTCCTTCTTGTGCTCTTCTCTTTGGTCAGGGGATCTATTCGGTACTGTATCCTTACCCCTCCTCATCAGTCCAGGAATCGCTGACCCCCAGTCCGAGCCTCATCCAAGTTCTTCACGGCCATTGTGCACGAATCAGAGCAGATGTCAGTGTGTTTCAAAGCAAGAAGCCAGGCACAGAGCTGCAGCTTGGCTGTTTAGTGGGGCTGGAACTCGATTGAGTGGATGTGCTGAGTGTGTCAGCATACCGCGCATGTTTCGAGCCTTCTGTTGCACTTCGTGTGTCCAAAAGCCAAATGCTGCGAAAGGGTCGAAAAGCACGACAATCGGAATGCCTGGCCCCTGCAGGCCGCAGCAGCTCAACTCCAGCTGACTCTAGCAACAATCAGTTGTTGAGACAACTTTTGCAGACACAACCAAAGCCTCACGGCCCATTGTAACCATAGTAGACGCAAAGGCCGTGTCAAGTGTGCGGCACCGAGCCTTCTATCGTGGAATCAAGCTGTATACTTTACGCCATGACTCGCCTGAACAAGCCGGAAACCCTCAAAAACAGAGCGTTCAAGATTGGAAAACAGCCTTGAGCCGAGTTCCCTGCATCTTTGCCCTTCTTCCCCTTGCCCTTGCCTTCGGAAGGAGCTTTCGATTTCGAGTCGACCAGGGTGCAGGTTTAGGGTCGGTGTAGTAGATCTTGAACACTCTACTGATTCAGCTCCGCAACCCTTTCAGGGTTCCTGTAAGGACTGTAGGGATGAAGGGCCATCGCAAATGTTCGACAGGCCAATAGCACTCTCGACATTGCTGACTGCATCCGAAATTGACTGATAGGACGCCTGCCTTCCGACTGGGTTGGAAACCTTCTCGGGCTGCATGCTGACAATCTCCGTTCTCTGCATGCTTTATCCGAGCTGTAATTAGTACCTGTAACACCCACCTCCCCCTACTTCCCCTCGCGGCACCTTTGCTCGAGCCATTGAGGGACCTCGTGTTCCAGTGCTCCTCGGCACTCTTCAGTCCTCGGCGGGCTTAGGGCAGCTTGGATACCCGAGCTTCGGGACCCACAGAGAGAATATCACCCGAAGGCTTTCTTCGGGTTCAGGTCCCACTACCTTCCGATAGACATGACCCTCGCTTTCGGAAGAGAGCTCGAGTCTCGACCAGGCTTGTCGCAGGAATCATTATGTAAGCACCGAGGCCAGATCTTCGGCAATACAGAGATATGGGTAGTTGTCAAAATTAGGGTCCGTTTTGGGTACCCTAAATATAAGGTGCCGCACTATAATAAGGTCCCAAAAAGGGACCCTAATTTTGACAACCACCCAATGTCGAGGTCTCGACTCGGTTCTTCTCCGCGCCATTCGCGCCGCCAGTCGTTGCCAGGCGTTCCCGGTTTTGGAAAGCCCTGCATCGACTTGCTGAAGTTGGGTGTCGAGATTTGCCTCTTCCGACTCATACTCATACCCGTGGTGGCAGTGCAAAGGAACTTGCTGTCTGCAAATCGCTCACAACGCTCGCAGCCCTCAGGGACTGCTGGGATCCACTGTCCAGAAAGTCGCTAAGCAGCAAAGGCCCGACTAACTGATGCCGAAACCTTGGACCCGCCGGCCTTCCCGACAGGGACACTGGAGGGGTAGTTGTTGCCTCGAGCTGCACGGTAGAAGAGAGAGAGAGAGAGAGAGAGAGAGTCGAACTTCAGGAGGATAAAGAGGATTCTGTTCGGCACCCAATCTGGACGTTTACCCTCCGGCAGTGATCTTGCGCAGGGACCTACAGGCACCGTGCCGAGAGGCCTTGCCACGGCTCTGGATCAAGTCGGCCATCACCTGTCCAAAGCCGCCCGAACATTCGAAGAGTGCATCCATTGATGCTGCCACTGGCACCTAAGTAACATAATCCCAACCAGACACGAGCTCTGGCATCTCCTTCCCACATGCCGGGATGGCTCGTCAGCTCTGCTGCGATGCCGGCATAACGACCGGATGAAGCAGTAGGAATGGGGACCTCGCAGGCGTGTTGCAAAGGGCTCATAACTTTTGGCAAACCTATCCATGGTCAGTAGAAGCTAGGCTGTTCAGACATTGGGACACGTCCGAATCGTAACAGAGGTTTACAGCCGGCATCCAGCGTGAAGTGTGACCTACCAAAGCTAAAACCTAGCACGCTCCGCCGGGTACTTGGATGCGAACCTGTCTAACGGAGCTGCCCTGCTTGGCATCAGGAGCTGTCCAGTAGCTTCGAATGTCCTCGGTGACATGAATGCATTGCGTCTCAGAGATGGAACCTCTACAAGATGGAGGTGCGATCCTTTCCGCACAGGGTGGTTGGACTCTTGATATACTCTTGATCAAAAGTCTTGAAACAAAGAGCTGCATGCATTGTGGGGCTCAGATCACGGCTGGCTGGGCCCAACGAGGCTGTTCACCCAAGCTTCGAGATCCATTATACAAAGCATTAGGAACCAGCCCTGCTAGGATTGCCGGGGGTCCGGATTTTTCACCCAATCATCGTCATCTGGATTCGCGACCTGAGGCTTCGGAGTGCGGTCGCGGCCACGAGAATAACAAGGGAGAGGAAGCTCTTGGGAACACATAAATGGGGAAATTACCAGATCTGAGGAACAGTCATCTGCTCGTCGGTAAGACTTCTCACTTCTCATGATTTAATTCAATATCTGCCCCGAACGACAAGACTCGGCTTCGACATCGCACGGTAGCAACCCACAGACGAGTTAAAGATGCAAGTCCATCGAAGCCCCGCAGGCCTCGCCCTATACACTTACTTTCTGCAAAAACCGAACGGCAAACCGTGGCGCTCAAGCATCCCAAATAGACCCGTGAAGCGATGGGTTTGGTTGATAACCTACAGGTACTACTAAAACACTACAAAATAAAGAAACATGTGTCTGAACATGTAGTTAACCTACATGTATGCACCTCGAAGTGTGTATGTTAAACATACATACCTGCACAAATATACATATATACACATACATACTTACTTACATACATACACACATACATGTAAGTATACATACACACATACATACATACATCCGTGCATACATGCGTACATGCGTATATACATGCATAACTCCGTTGATACATGCCAAACACAGCAAAGCATACCATTACGGGACACTACACTACAATACGAGGTCACATTACATACATACATGAATACAAACCTCACATAACTACTGACATACATTACATACAAAACTTACCTTCTATACATACTTGCATATATACAGACGTCAGTACATACACATGCACGCGCATACTTCTGTGTACATGCAAGCATGCATGCGTACATACGCACATGCATACATACATACATACATGCGTTGCCCCCACATACGCATACATACAGTACATGCATACATGCATACATACATACGTATATCTGTGCATGCATACATACATGCATACATTCATACATGCGCGCGAAAACACCCAAACAAGCCAACATGCATGCATGCACGCATGCATTCGTACATTCGTACATACGTACATTGAATTGCATTGCATACTGTACATATATTACGTAAACAACCTGCATATACCATTTCTATATAAACACACACAAACACTACACGCCATACATACGTCACATTTTACATACATCGCTAATGCCACATCACATCTTTTACACTAACCTATATACAGACTAACCACACCGTGACACACACGGTATGTACATGGTGGCAGCCGGTGATCTCGTGATTTCTGCAGGCGAGGCACACCCTCAAACTCGAAGGTCTGCTGCGGTGGTTGGTGCTGCCGCGGGTGAAATGCAGGTGCTCCTGGTAGAGCTTGTTGAAGGTTTGGGGCTGCAGAAACTAAGGTTTGGCATGTCCGCGTGGGGTGTATGTGGGGTTAGTAGGCGGCCGTTCTAGGCTTTCAAGTATTGTCAAGCCGGGTAACTAAATTTTCTGCCGGTGGGCATTGCTTCGTTGCTGCGGTTAACCATCGGAATCTTGAATGTTGGATCCCTGCGGCGAAATGCTCTGATCCCATCATCCGAAAGCGTTCAACCCAATAGCCGTCGATATGCTGATATTCGGAGCCTGCGTTCAATTGATGTCCCGAGGAGAAGCGGCCATCGCCGGTCAGCTCTGCGACGATACCACCAGCAGCACCACCGCCGGAAGCAGCACCAGCACTGGCACCAAGTCCTGAGTCGGGTTGGGGGCTTGGCGGTTCTGGGTTATGAATGGTTCTTGCTGCTTAACGTGGCCAGTGCAGAGCTGGCAATGTCTGACACTACTGGCGTAGCTATGGTTATGGTGTCAACAGCTACTACCATAAGAACTGAACACACGGTTCTACAGCTATATACTGTAATTCTTTCTAAACCTGCCTCTGAAGCTTAAACCCCCTTCAGAGCATGCTTCAACATACACAACTGAAACCATCCTAGGCCCCTCAAAACCTAACCTAATCACCTGAATCAGTAGTGACTGGTACTTATGCTAGCACCACCAGACTGACACTTCAAACTCATTGATGGTACACCTAGTACTATGGCCCGGCCTGCAGCACACGGCGATCCCACGAATCGTATGAGGAAACTGTTCCGCTTTGCACAATAAGTCTCTGTGGCTGATCACAACTCAAAACAAGTCTACCCCGCCGCTCAGGTTGCAGGTGGGTGTCTGGGCTTCTGCAGTCTGTCCGTGGGCGAGAATGTCGCCTGGTAAAGCCCGAAGCAAACTTCATGCCCGTCTCGATTCGCTCCTAGCTCTTCCCTTTAGAGTCATGCGCATCATTTACTGGGGAACCTGGGACACTCGGCCCCGATCGGCATCGCAGCACTAGATTGCCCTGCTGGGACGAAATCGAGAACCTCAACCCGGCCCCACAAAGGTCAGCAAAATGGCCGAATGATGCTCTGACGTTGCAGGATGTTGCAGGCAACACCAGACAAGAAAGCTCGATTTTAGCCAAACTCGACACGGGCAACGAAAACAAGGCTTCTAATTTCTCTTCGAGTTGTTGACAGCGCCTACGAGTATATAGTGGCAGGTGGGTCTGGCTGAACCATTTCGGGGTGAGCTTGATGTCAATGGGCATTTCCCCGAAAATGGGATTCAATTGGGCCGGGAGCTTCACTCGTAAACCTCCGAAGCCCCCGTCACCCCGAACGGCAGCCCACTCGTCAAGGAGCCACAGCTTCATGGACGGCAGGCTGCTGAGAATAGCGAGTCACCCGCGTCTCTGCCTGGTCGTGCGTGCAGGGTCCGTGTGCCAACCAAAGCGGGTTGCTGCTTAGCCTGTCTCTGGTCTGCTTGCTCTTGAGCCGAACCAACACACAGCCGGGCACCTGAAATCAAAACTCCCCGCAGCAAACTTCACGTCAATGCGGCTTCCGGTGCCTGAACGTAAACGCCATGTTAAGTGTGCCTCAACCAAAATTCAATGAAGATGCCTGAATTTGACGGCAATTTCCGTCGATGTATCCATCTATCAATCCATCCACCTACCCACCTATGCTATCTATCTCGCCCGGGACAGGCCCTGCCTCATGAACACGGTTGTGCAGGAAGTCCCCTAGCCCACGGGTGCCCTGTGAGAAGTCAGGCAGACCAAAGTCACCTCCGTCAGACGCAGCGAAGCCATCACAACGATTTTGATGGTGATGGTATGCATGCAACTCGATTTCACCGAGTGGGTATGCCGGTGACCCTGCCCATTCAAATGTATGTAATCGTAGTCAGCTTTGCCAATGCATCATGCATTCTTTCCGTCGGGCAGCCTACGTTGCATTCGGACTCACCTCAAAGCAGCTTTGTTCTAGCGTCTCAAAGAACGTTGCTGTGGCCAGAGAGGTTACAACATTCCTTGCAGCATTGGTTGCCAGAGCAAATCCTACGCTACTTCGCCAGAGCAACTTTGACATGAAGTGTGGCACTGAGCATCAAAATGCTCAACAAACTTATCTCAATCTACACTTTTGTAGCATACGATGCCAGGTACCACCGCAGCAACTGTACAGCATCGTGACAAATTGCAGTCGCACAGACAAAACAACACGGCAAAGCTTGATTGCGTGAACCCTGAACCCTCAAACCCTCAACCACTACCCCTAAACTGAGGAACCTCGGCAAAACCTCCGCAAAGCAGCCTTGAATAAGGAACCCCTGAATAAGGAACCCCTAATTGTCAGAAGCCCCCTCAACACATTGTAAGGACTCCAACTTAAACCAAACCCTAAACCTACACCCGGAATGAGAAGCCACCCATGAAGACCTCCTCGAGGTGGCGGAGGTGGAGGGGCACTCGGTGGAAAATACGGCGAAGCGACCTGCCCAGAATTTGAAGCTCGCATCTTAGGTTTCCCGCAGCATCGACAAATTAATCCTGGCCGCATGGACGGCCCAGACGCAACGCCGCCAATCATGAGATCGTTTCAGAGCCCAATTATACTTTGAGAGAAGTTCGCCTTGCGCTGCTGTACAGTATATTTACACACGCAAGCACTCCAAGCATCCTAACTGGCCCTAGGTGCGAGCATGAGAATATCACAGACCCCATGATAAACCCCTGAACCCCTGAGCAATAGGATTCTTCGTCTTACTGTGCAGAACCCTGAGGGCCTAAGCAGGCTTAATGCGGCACCTCGTTGTTGTAGCCGACCGGCTCGGGCATGCCTAGCTCAGGTGGACATTTGTTTGAGGACCGACTTTTAGGTCTGCGGGTGTAAAATGTAGGGTCTTGGAATTGTTTCGGGGCATAAACATCATATGATATGATCTGACATGATGTGATCTCGCAGGGCTACCAAACACATCAAAATTTGAACCACCAAAATCTCTCTCGCCTGGCTCAGCGACCATCGAGGCCTTAGATCCTTAGGCCTTAGGGCCAACCGCGCTAGTGATTCCAGTTCCCCGGAGCTTGATAAGCACCGCATCATACCACAGAATGACATAATGCCCACCTCAGATGACTCCTGTCCTACACAGGAGAATCGTTGCACAAGTACTCCCTCCGCACTGTTTTCGTCGAGACCTCTTCTCAGCTCTCTTGGCTGAGGTCAGCGTACTCTGTCGAGAAAACATAACTCCACAAGCTGGATGCGGATCAAAATTCCTCGGCAGGCCTCTCCACCCCTTCTGAGCAAAGCTGGAGTCCAGCTATGGTCAAACTGTCAAACCGCAGGAGCTTAGCGGTACAAGTGCGACTGCGGAACGCAGCCCTTGCCATCAGAGCAGAAGCCAGGGTGGCAGTAGCAAAAGTAGTCCTTGGTGTTGCAGGTCGTTGGCCCACGAGACTTGGCGCAGCTGAAGACCATGCAGGACGAGCCTTCGATCTTGTTCAAGCACACCGGGCCTGGCACCCCAAAGTGGCCACCATAGGGGTTGAACCCAGGAGGCATCTGCCCGTACGGGTTGTAGTAAGGGTTGAAGGCTGGTGGTGGAGGAGGCGATGGGCCCCATTTCTCGGTGTCTGAAGCCGTTTGAGCTGTCCCGGAGCTGCTCTGCACTTCAGCTGCTAACTCCTCTTCGCCCTCCTCCAAGGCAGCAGCGAACTTCTCCACAGAGTCTTCTGCCTGCATTTGGGCAACCACTGCTTTCTGCTGCAAAGCGTTCAGGGCGCATTCCTCGCCCGTGGCACACTCGGCATCGGCAGCCAAGATCTTGTCCACGTCCATCATGTCTTGCGACATAGCACAGCGAAATGCTGCTGCGGACAAGGCGAAAGCCAGCGCCTTCGCCATCATACTTAGGTCCGAACGCTTTTGAAGAGGCGAAGAGTAGAGCTAGGAGAAAATGGGCTTGAGCCGTAGGGCTTCTCTCTCAGCTTCGGTGTGCTCGGTTCCATCTCAGGAAACTCAGGCTGTCTAGGATCATCGGAGGTTCTTTGCTTTCTACTTACGCTCTCGCAACTCGGACATGCCAGGCGAGGTCCACATTTCTTAGTTGCCAGAAACCTATTCATGACTTACACATACACATTATACATATGATGTATGTATGTATACATATATATATATATATATATATGTGTGTGTGTATGTATGTACGTATGTATGTATATGTATATGTATATGTATATGTATATGTTTATGTTTATGTATATGTATATGTATATGTATATGTATATGTGTGTATATATGTTTATATATATATTATAGTTTTTACCACAAACTTCCGAGTGCAGGGCTCCCCGTTTCAACCTGCCTTGGAGGAAGCGGCAGACAAACTGCGAGGACCGACTATAGGGTCTACGGGTGTAACATGTAGGGTCTTGGAGCTGTTTTCGGGCGTGAGCATGATATGATATGATATGATATGACATGATGTGATCTGCTATGATTTATGTTGTGATGTGATGTGGTATCATGTCACACTACGTGGTATGATATGAGAAGATATGAGAGAGATACATATGTATATATTGAAACAGATACATAGATAGACAGACAAACAAGCAAACAAACAGACATGAATAGCTACCGCTACTCTTCCGCGGGGCTACCAAACACATCAAAATTTGAACCACCAAAATCTTTCTCCTGGCTCAGCGACCATCGAGGCCTTAGATCCTTAGGCCTTAGGGCCAACCGCACTAGCGATTCCAGATCCCCAAAGCTTGATCAGCACCGCATCATACCGCAGAATGACATAATGCTCATCTCGGATGACTCCTGTCCTACACAGGAGTATCGTTGCACAAGTACTCCCTCCGCACTGTTTTCGTCGAGACCTCTTCTCAGCTCTCTTGGCTGAGGTCAGCGTACTCTGTCGAGAAAACATAACTCCACAAGCTGGATGCGGATCAAAATTCCTCGGCAGGCCTCTCCACCCCTTCTGAGCAAAGCTGGAGTCCAGCTATGGTCAAACTGTCAAACCGCAGGAGCTTAGCGGTACAAGTGCGACTGCGGAACGCAGCCCTTGCCATCAGAGCAGAAGCCAGGGTGGCAGTAGCAAAAGTAGTCCTTGGTGTTGCAGGTCGTTGGCCCACGAGACTTGGCGCAGCTGAAGACCATGCAGGACGAGCCTTCGATCTTGTTCAAGCACACCGGGCCTGGCACCCCAAAGTGGCCACCATAGGGGTTGAACCCAGGAGGCATCTGTCCGTACGGGTTGTAGTAAGGGTTGAAGGCTGGTGGTGGAGGAGGCGATGGGCCCCATTTCTCGGTGTCTGAAGCCGTTTGAGCTGTCCCGGAGCTGCTCTGCACTTCAGCTGCTAACTCCTCTTCGCCCTCCTCCAAAGCAGCAGCGAACTTCTCCACAGAGTCTTCTGCCTGCATTTGGGCAACCACTGCCTTCTGCTGCAAAGCGTTCAGGGCGCATTCCTCGCCCGTGGCACACTCGGCATCGGCAGCCAAGATCTTGTCCACGTCCATCATGTCTTGCGACGTGGCACAGCGAAATGCTGCTGCGGACAAGGCGAAAGCCAGCGCCTTCGCCATCATACTTAGATCGGAACGCTTTTGAAGAGGCGAAGAGTAGAGCTAAGAGAAAATGGGCTTGAGCCGTAGGGCTTCTCTCTCAGCTTCTGTCTGCTCGGTTCCATCTCAGGAAGCTCAGGGTTTCCAGGATCATCGGGGGTTCATTGCTTTCTACTTACGCCCTCGCAACTCGGACATGCCAGGCGAAGTCCATATTTCTTAGTTGCCACAAACTTATTCATGACTTACACATATATATATATATATACATTAGACACATTATTTATGTATATGTTTTGGTTTTACTGATACATATATATATATATATATACACACACATATATACCAATATATACACACACCCACATATATATATAATATATATATATATATATATATATATATATATATATATATATATATCATAGACTTGCGGCTTCAGAGTGTAGGGCTCCCCGTTTCAACCTGCAGCACCCTTTAGGGCTCAGGCCCCAGGAGTCCCTCCTTGGAGGAGGCGGCGGACAAACTGCCTTATGCCGAAAGTCCATGACCTCAGCATCCAAGTAAGATAGGGTTTAAGGGTTTAGGGTTTAGGGTTTAGGGTTTAGGGTTTAGGGTTTAGGGTTTAGGGCTTAAGAATTCGAATAGGGTTTTGGGGTTATCAGTACTATAAGATACATATAATAAGGCACCCCCCAAAAATAGAATAGGCAATTATTGAGGAACCTATATTAGCGGGTTGGGAGAAATTGCATCCAATCCACTGCTGAGCGGACCACTTCTGAAAGCTCAGCACAAGAATTGTCAATCCGACCCCTCTTGCGATGTCCCCGCTCTCGGCCGAGTTGCTGCGCTGCTGGCATCCACAAAGCAGCGACCCTGAACACTACACGCGGGCCTCACGCAAATCTACCTAAAAGTCGGTGGCGGCATTTGCTGGGGTTCGACGGAAATTATTCCATAGATTCAGTCGGGAAGTCTGGAATTATGAGTGTGGCATGCATATTTCATACAGGCCTTTGCCCGCTTGATTTCGAAGAGGCGATCAAGATGAAGAACGGCAATGCAACAATCGTGTCTTGTCTGCAGCTAGATACGCAAAATGACGGCCACCCTTCCCAATTGCCTTTTTTCTCGTGCAAACATAACGCCACGGCACAAGACATAGGTCGCAGACCCGGGCGGAAGAAGCAACAGAGCAAACAATTAAAGCAGAAAACTCCAAACTCGTCTCAAGAGCCCTGGAGTTCCAGCTTTTTTCAGGGGCTCAGCCCGCTGCCATCACCACCCAGGAGTTTGTAGCGTACGAAGCAACCATACAACCATCAACGCATGACTGCCAAACTAAACACGCAACAAACGTGTCAAATCTCAAACAAAAGTAACTACTGCTTAAGGTTGCCATGGCAACATGTATGACACGAGATGATGTTGTTGTACTTCTTCTGGGGCGCTTCTGCTTGACAGGGCCTCGTTGTCGCGGGAGGGGGTGTTGCTCACATTCTTGCCGATATTGGCAACCGAAATTACAGTGGGTTGTCATGTTCATATACATCATATACTGACTCCCACCCCCCCCCTCCCTCCCTCCCTGCCTGGCTCCCCCCTCCCTCACGCTCTCCCTCTCTCTCTCTCTCTCTCACTCTCTCTTCCTCTCGCTCACTCTAAGTTTCTTTCTCGTTGTCTCTCTCTCGCTCACCCCGACTCTCTCTCTCTCTCTGTCTCTCTCTCTCGCTCTCCCACTCTCTCTTTCTTTCGCCAGGGCTATGGTGCAGGGGTGTAATTAACCCTCCCACTCTCTCTCTCTCTCTCTCTCTCTCTCCCCCTCTCTCTCGCTCACACACACACACACACACACACACACACACACACACACACACACACACACACACACACACACACACACACACACACACACACACACACACACACGCCGCTCTTTCTTTCGCCAGGGCCATGGTCCCGGGGCTTTACCCCCCAAACACCGCGCTCTCGCGCCCCCGACAGCTGCGGAGGATAATTGGTTTCATGCAGACCACGGCTGTGGGTGCGCAACAAAGGGAAAAAGCCGCCCTAGGCAACTGGATTCAGCCAAAGTCACACCGAATACCTATCTTGAAGGGAGTGGCAGATCTGGTCAAGCGATTTCAAATCAGGCATTCCCCATTTGCATGGTTATGTGTGGCATCAGCACAGGGATCGGTATTTGGAAAGTCAGGTAAGGATTCGCCCGAACTACAGCCAAGTAGGACTGCCACCGGGGCGTCCCCCGAATACTGTGTCGCCACAGTTCTCGAAATTTTGCTGTGAACTGCGAGCGCCACAAAGAAGGAAACAAGCAATCAGAGGTGCCAAGAGAAAATACGATGCCAATGGTGTGGACTTTAGGCTATGCTCGAAAACAGGAGTCACTTTCCACGTCTCACACTCTCTCCCTCTGCCTCCCTCTTGATCGTCTTCTGCAGGGCATGAGGAGCGTCTCAAACCCCTCGGCCACATGGGCCCCCCATTTGTTATGGGGCTTTGAAGGAGTGTGAAAGTGTTGATCGGTTTCCCCGAAGTTGCAACACGCAGTGTATTGGCCTATGAATTCAATCATTTTGGGGACACATGCAGCATCTGGGGTCCCCTCCAGTGTTTACACTCCATTGTCCATACGACGGATCTCTCTCTCTCTCTCCCTCCTTGCCGTACATAGGCCTACCAACATAAGCGCACGCGCCCATCATGTTCCGCATGATGCTTGAGCAAGAGGACTCCGACGACGCAAATCAGCACTCCCATCTGTCCTGGAGACAATCTATAGTAGATTATCGTGTCATATGCCGGGTAGTCGAAGAAATCTGATTGAGAATAATGTTATTACAACACTAAAAAACAATATAAGACCAGAATAAGACCCTGGTCCCTGAGTACTAGTGGCTCCTTTCAGCGCCTCACCCAATGCGTACCCATTTTTTCGATTCGCTCTCAGCGCTTCCACCTTCTTGACTTGCTCACGGCTTCAGCGGCAGCTGGCGGCTGCGATGCATAGCCTGCCAGCACCCAGCAGGGCTGTCGCTGCTCTCTGTATTAGGCTACTGGGCTTGTGGAAAGGCCAGCCCGTCTCCGGGCTGAGGTCGGTTCGATAAAACACTGTTTGGACCCTGGCCCGAGCCGAACCTGCGGCTGTCCGTGCGGCGGAGGCATCCACCTCGGACACAAGGAATGGATAGCAACTCCATCGTACGCATCAGAATGAGATTTACATGGTTCTACCCTGAGGGCGTCGGGAATCGTGTCGTGCACAAGCTGAAAGTTCAGCCTGGAGGCGGTGCATGCATCGACGGCCTTGGAGGCAGCTGATGCCAGGATGTCACCTCGTCTTCCGCAGACGAGAACAGAAAGAGAAGGCCTGTAATTGACTGCCGCACATCCACTCCCAGGTCATGGCAAGTTTCCCTGGCCATTCTACTCACGCAATATGCAAGGCGCCAGGATGCCCGAGATCCAACCGACTAGCCATGGCTCCCGGGTAAATTTAACTTCAAGCTGTGGACACCGAAACGTCGCAATGAACTTAACACCTAGGTGCCAAAGGCAAAACCCAGGTCTCTCTTCTCCGTGCGCATGCCGGGCGGATACTTGCTCAGGGGCAGGTCCTCCTCCTCGGTAAAGACGATGCAAGCTTTCAGGGCTGCAAGGATTGGAATCCAGGACTCTCGAAACCGAAACCCGCACAATGCAGCTGCAAAGGCTCCAGGTACACTGCGATACACCCGTATATCTTCACTAACTACTGGTGTCATCGGGCGAGTGTGGGTAGCTGATCTGAGACCTGGCAACCCGCAAAAACAATGACAAGCATGTGTATTTTTAAATGCTGAATGACACAAGCAGCTGGAACATGCAAGAACACAAAAGATGACCTATGAATTCCGGTCCGCGCCGCCGTGTTTCCCAGCAACTGCATCACTTCCCCTGTGGTACTCTTTCCTGGCGGGATTTCTGTCGCTAACCACTAGACCCAACCCGTCTTCTGCAGTTGTTGCACGAAGGATCAGGATGAGGGAAAAGTGCAACTGAAAACCACAAAACATCCTCCAATGAACCCAGCACACCCAGCCTTCATCCCGCCAACCCTTCTGGCCAAACTCCGCCTGTCCTGGATGGCAGGCAACTCTCAGCCACATTACCGTTAAGGGACTTGTGCAGTTTGATTTGGAGCCTGAGTCCTCAGCACCGATCTGACTTTTTCGGGAGGGCTGGGTATGGTGTTGCCGATGCGGCCCCCAAGGCAGCATCAGTCTAGCCCCGCAGTTCTTATCTAAACTTTGCCCCTCCCCCCAGCCTTAACCCCCCTCTCTTTTCCGAGTCTCGGGCTGAGGCCTCAACTGCTGAACCTCTAAGCTTTCACGGCTGGCCTATAGAAGCCCTCACCGAAGACTTTCTGCCTCAACCCCGATGCAACTGCTGAGCCTGCGAAGCCGGGGCTGGCCGTACGCCAGGCAGATGGAAGCATCGCCTCAAGAATCCTGAGCACTTAAACCCTATGCCCTATGGTGGTTCCTTCTGGGGATTACCTTATAGGATCCTACAAGAACTTACATATTGAGGTAGCCTTCAAAGTCCACTCGCGAAGTTGCAGAAGGGAAGACTTCCGCAGGGGTGCTTCGATACTGTACGTTTAGGCCCAAGGTCCAGCAGTGGCCTTCGTGACCAGCAGGAGATCTTAGCAAACATGTTTGTGGATCCTCCGGTTCACATGTTCGCTGATTCGCTGAGCCCCCTGTCCAAGCCGGGTTAAGATTGTCAACTACGGCGGGATTTTACAACCCCCCGAAAAAAGTTAAAGCTTCTCTCCGAGGGTGCCCTAGGACGAATCAATTTATTGGTAATTATAGAGATCAAGAACCGACTCCAGTTCGAACAACCATCAAGTCACAACAAACCCCGTGCCCTGACAGCCCAACAAGCCGGCCTTCCCAAAGGGCGGCCGTCATCCAAACCGAGGGCCCTCACCAGCACCGCTGCGGCAAGGGCGCCTCCCCGGGGAAATTTCGGTCGACGGGTGGTCGCGGTGTATCATCCGGATGATGCTGGCCCTGGAAAGTGCAGCTGTGCAATGCGCTATATGTCAATGTCCATGAGTCGGACGTTTACCTGGTTGGGTGTCGTTCGACAAGCCGTTTAACCTCATACAGCTCTAGCAAGCCTGCTTTTTCATTGTTGTTGCTGACCGCTCGAGCACCTGGTGTAAAGCCCACCGCATACTCATGCCGAAAAACCCTAAGCACCTAACATATGCGTATAACATATACAATACATATGCATTATTGATTTATGTTTGTTTATCTCGCTTGACTTATTTGATGCGTGTCTTTTGCGTGACTAAGCTATCCGTGCATGTCTGACAATTCCGTAAGCGCCTCCTAATGAACCTTGCACCTGCAACCAGACCGGACTCAATCTTCTGGAAGCTCAAATGGACTCAAAGCCGAGCAGGTCGGCTATGCGCCAGCTCGTTGTCGGGTTGTTCATTTTAAAGGGTTCCTTGAGGGTTGTAGGGCTTGGGGTTCAGAGCTTTAGGTCCTTTGAGGGTTCCATAAGGGGTTGTTTCTGAAAGGGCTCTACATTAGTCTAATTTGCCGGCGGTAGTCGTCAGGAAAAGTTCGCACCTGCCAGCGCAGAGCCGTGGCCCATGTCATCCTCTCTCAATCATCACATGACATGAACTTACTCACTGTCATCGTCTTGGCAGCTCTAGGTCTGTAGGTCACAAGCCAACAGTCCACACTGCAGGAGTCTCGTTCGGAAGAGGGCAGAAACGCACCGAGTGCTTCGGGCTACAAGTAGATACATCCAACATATATCACACCTCCACAAAGGAACTTGTAAACATGCGATGCCTCTTTTCTGGGATGGGTTCGCTTCCTTGAACTTCGCCCAACCCCTCTCCTTCCACAAGGCCGGATAAATCCGGTCGTTCTCTGCCCGCGCAGCACGGACATGGAGAAATGCGTGACCCACTCTGGCGGGCGTCACCGCCTGGCGAAAGCAATGTGGGGCTGCTCTCACGGATGACCGCCATGAATTAAGTTATCCTAGACAGAACCCCGTTGAAAAGTGTCGGTGCAAACTCTGCAGGCCAACTTGCAAAGGGAAGCATAGCAAGCGTGCACTGGGTTATAACATGCTAGCACGTGCACACGCATGGTTCAAGGAAAAGACAACCCAGTGCGTGCCCTGCGCACATGTATTTCGAATTTAGCTATGCCTCAGTTTCGTGAAGTCTCTCGACCAAGGACACTTGATCAAGCAAGAAATACCGTCGGTGCTGCTGCCAGCCCTGCAGACAGGAGTGCTGCAGCGTACTCCTGCTCACACCAGGACATGGAACACTTGGTCAGGCTCATACATATAAGAAGACACATAAGGATCAAGGCTTTGTGGAGTGGACCTTCTTCGGCTCCAGCCCGAAGTATAACTCTCAGAAGAATCCCCTCAACGGAATGGAACCATGAAGGATCCCGTGTGAGACGGACTGCAGGCGAGAAGAATGATCTGATCACAGAGGCGGTGAGATGAGGAATGAACCTGCTTCTTCGTATCATCTGTAGTTGCCATTGGTTGATGCTTTTTTACACAAGTAGCAACCAGTCACGATATAGCACCCAGGTTGCTATAGCAAAAGAGACGGGAGTTCATGTTTAAGGAGTTGTAGTTGCTGCAGCCACGGCGGCGGTGGCCGCGATGGTGGTTGCTACAATACTAGAAGCTATTGAAACACTACTACTCACTACTAGTCCAGCTACCATCCAACATCAACTTCCTGCACCAATCGTCGTCGCCTGTAGGCACCTGCGAGACAAAAGTGCCCGACACGCACTGGACTTATAACCTGCTTTGTCTCACGACAAGCGAGATGGCTTGTCGAATTCAATCTGGCATGAAGAAGTAGTCTAATCTAGGTGCCTTGATAATTAGAATAGGGTTTCGGGGCCCATTATACTTGACAATTATATGAAGGAGCCCCCAAAATAGTACTACTACTACTACTACTACTACTACTACTACTACTACTACTACTACTACTACTACTACTACTACTAATACTACTACTACTACTACTACTACTACTACTACCACTACTACCACTACTACACTACTACTACTACTACTACTACTACTACTACTACTACTACTACTACTACTACTACTACTACTACGTACTACTACTACTACTACTACTACTACTACTACTACTACTACTACTACTACTACTACTACTACTACTACTAGTCTACACCCACGGTAGACGTCCTCCAGGCTCTTGTTGAGCTGCTCCACCTCGTTTTCCTCTGGCCAGGGGCCGGACCTCGACAGTTGACTCAGACCTTCCCGTGGGACCTTAATAAATAATAGAATAGGGTTTTGGGATTCATTGTACTAAAATTAGAATAGTATAGGTAATGATTAGGCCATTATTCAATACTTAGAATAGTATAGCTAATTATTCAAAAAAAAAACCTATATATTATGGGACCTGGCTTTGAGTTGAAGCTCTGGCCTGCCAGAGTTAAAGCCGAATCTTCCAACCCATGAGCCCCAAATCCGGCCCTCCTCAGCCCGGGCTTTTTGGAGCTTCTGCAAACAGACGGCAGCCACGATGGGCCACGATCCTGTGGAGTGTCGCGAGGCCGGCATAGGCAAAGAAAAGAAGTCAACTCCCACCCCCCGACAAACAAGATTGCGAAATGTCCAAAGCCCCAGGGACCCCAACCTCCTCTGTCACATCGCAGTGACAGTGATACAGCTAAATGCCTTGGGGCCTTGGAGCAAGCCATGCCAACCAGCAAACTAGACCCTCAAACCTCAAATCACACTTCCCTGCACCCTGGACCCCTAAGTCTAATCACCAGCCCAAACCTTGAATCCAATCTCCCGAAACCTAACTCATACATGTCATGCGACCAGGTCTGGTAGAGAATCACCTTCGACACCGAGATTTCCTTCAGCAGGGCCGCGTAATTGTGGCGAAGCACCTCCTTCGGGCGCACTGTCATGCAAAACTTCTGCCGGAAATAGATGCGGGGGCTTGCAAGTATGTATATGTGTGTATATACATATATATATATGTATATATAATGTATAGATATATGCGTATGTAAAGAGCTTGTATGCTTTTCTCTGTGCGTTATTGTTCCTGTGTGGACATCTTTGCAAATTTAGGCATTCCTTACTCCTCAGTTATGTATATCCTGACCTCTATATAAATATGGAGATAGATATGTGTATTATGTGTATATATGAGGGTTTACAAGAGAGAGAGAGAGAGAGAGAGAGAGAGAGAGAGAGAGAGAGAGAGAGAGAGAGAGAGAGAGAGAGAGAGAGAGAGAGAGAGAGAGAAAGAAAGAGAGAGAGAGAGAAAGAGAGGAAGAGGGAGGGAGGGAGGGAGGGAGGGAGAATTACAGAAAGGGAGACAGAGAACAAGTCTGTGCGGCTAGGGTGCATTCTTATGTGTAGCTGCTTGTGTAAGTTATGAACGAGCAAGGAAAATTGACGATATTTTGCTGACATAGAAGGGTAGTCTTTGGGTGCTGCTTTGGCACAAAGATAGATAGATAAACCATAGATAAGTACATTTAAAGATATCTGTATCGTGTATTATGCAGTAATGTTGGTTCACTGTTATCAGGGCCTACGCTAGGTGCATGTGTGTAAAAACATGCACAAAGGATACACAAACAATGTATATACACATATGGAAAGACATACATACATTCATTCGTAAAAACATATATACATACATAAATAAATAAATATATATATATATACATGTGCACTTCGCAAAGCCGAGCAGCTGTCATCGCGAAGCGCTGGCTTTCTTCCGTGCCCTGGGCTAGCAAGTGTCAGGATTCGTTGTTGAGGACCGGTTGCTTGAGATTTGTGGCTTCAGGTTCTCGGAGGGATATGTGTATATATAGAGACTCAGGATTTGGGAATTCGTGGCGGCAGGCCTTGTAGGACATGTGCTTTTGTCGACCGGGCTCTAAGCCTCTAAGATGATACAACTGATACAAGCATGGAGCTGCAAGCCATGAGACAACGTGTCACTTCTGTGATAGAAGGCCGCACTGACCACAATCGCAAACGACGGTAAGGCGCCTGCTTTACGCGAAACATGCACCACGTTCCGTTTCTCTTCGGGACTTGTCTTGTTGGTCAGTGGAGCTTCTTGCTGCTAGTAAAGTCTCAGTGTGTCGATTTCGGTGCTCACACTCGGACAATCCAGGCGAGGCATGTGTCGGTTTAGGGTTTAGGGATTCCGGCCCTTCTTTGCAATAAGCTGTTCACACAAACAGGGCAGCAGACTCAACATTCCCACAGATTCATTTGCTATGGCATAGCCTGGATCCCTAAACAAGGAAGTCAACCCTAAATTACCCCTTCATCAAGAAGGACACACAAAAAATGCTGCATGTAAACAGCGATAGAAATACAGTCTCTGGATCGGGGTGCCTTGCCCACCTGCAGAACCACGACATCCCAGCTTGCAGCACCGTCTTTGCCTCATGAACTCGGAAGCAGGGGTACAGTGATGCCTGCTTTCTAACTATCGCAATAACGACAAAATATGACAAGTTGTTTGTTCTTGTTTTGTCATCTTCCAACGAGGAAAGAGTTGACCAAGCCCGTAGAAGTCTTGCAAACTAGGCACTGCGTGTCGTGACGTTTGAGGTTGTTGTGTATTAGGCATTCTGCCGGCAATAGCAACCTTCAAATGGACAACCAGAATTGCTACTCGCTTGACTACAATAAACCCAACAAGTTGGCAATTTGGAAAACCACGATAGGTGGTTGTATTTCCTGCAGTCGGCTCACCACGGCATGAGGAGAATCAGCCAACCCTTTCGTCACAACTTGACCGATAGCGGCACATCTGTTCAGCCCCCCACGCCGGCTGGTGACGAAGCTGCTGAACTCCTCCCATGGGATTTGCCGCCTCCTCACCCTATCAGAAGACGAAGTATTGCATCAACAGATCACTGCCTG